CGGGGAGTAGGACGTCGGGGGAGCGTGAGAGGCGCTATTCCCCATGTCGTCGAAGTAGATCACCCAGGAAGGAAAAACAGCAACGAGGTAGCTCCCCTCGTTCGAGAGGAGAAACTAGTGGGACACCGCGGTCGTTGAGTTTTTCAGTCTTCGTTGGGAACAAACTGATGACAGAGGCAGATTTGATTATCCGTGACCCAAATGTAGCAGTCGAGTTTGCTCGACAGATTTTTTTGCCAGAAGTTCAGCAATCCCTGGTCGGTTGGGCTAATTATGAAGTTTTTCGAGAGGGTGTTGATAGAGTTGTAAAGGGTTTATATACCTCCTATGAAATCAACATGCGTCTTCATGCCGCGCAAAGAGAGATAGAGCAAAAGGACGCTCACATCTGAAGCTTGTAAGCCCACGCGGAGAAGGCCGAAAGTGAGCTGAAGAAAGCTAACACCTCCGAGACTCAGTCGGCGAATCAAGTGAATCCGATTGTCGCGGAATGAGTAAACCAGCGAATTTTGGATCATACGATTGCCGGCCGAGAAACGGCGAGTATGTTCGCTATAGAAGCTGCGAAGACCAGGTCCTATGAAAAAGGCTTCCATGACAGCTAAAAAATTAGAATAGAGAAGACAAAGGAAAAACTAGCCGAGGAAGTCTGTCGATGCGAAAATCGCGGATTTATGCATGGATGGATCAAGGCTCTCCAAGTTGTAGGCATTGATCCGGCGTCACCTCTGTATCAGAGTTATACTTCTCTGTTCGAGGCTTTCAAGGCCGAGAAAACTAATGACGAGGATGGAGCCAAATAATTTTTATGTACATTGTTCCGTTTTTATGTAAAGAATGTACTCATGATCTATTTAATAAAACATTTTATTTTGAATGTTTATATGTTTTTTTAGTTAATGCTTGTAAATTAGGTTATGACCATCTACTACTTTATATCAATCGCGCTAGTGCTTGTCAATCGCAACATCCATGAAAGGAGCTCCGAATTCAGAGGTTTATTCGGCCCAAACGTGTCGTTCACACATGGGGCTCTGAATTTGGAGGCTTTTTGTGTTGGCCCAATGCGATTTCCGTGAAGGGCGCTCCAAATTCGGAGGCTTATTCAGCCCAAATGCGTCTTTCCTGAATGGGGCTCTGAGTTCTGAGGCTTTTTGTGTTTGGCCAATCGTAGTTTTCACGAAGGGTGCTCCGAATTCGGAGGCTTTTTCGGCCCAAACGTGTCTTTCACGGATGGGGCTCCGAATTTGGAGGCTTTTGTGTTGGCCAATCGTGATTTCCACTGAACGCGTTCCGAATTCGGAGTCTTATTCGGTCCAAACGTGAGTTTCATGGATGGGGCTCTGAATTCAAAGGCTTTTTGTGTTGGCCAGTCGTGGTTCACGAAAGGCGCTCCGAATTCAGAGGCTTATTCGGCCCAAACGTGTCATTAATGGATGGGGCTCCGAATTCGGAGGCTTTTTATGTTGGCCAATCGTGGTTCACGAAGGGCACTTCGAATTCGGAGGCTTATTCGGCCCAAATGTGTCATTAACAGACGGGGCTCTGAATTCGGAGGCTTATTCGGTCCAAACGTGTCATTAATGGATGGGGCTTCGAATTCGAAGGCTTATTCAGCCCAAACATGTCATTAACGGATGGGGCTTCGAATTCGGAGGCTTTTTGTGTTGGCTAATCGTGGTTCACAAAGGGCGTTCCGAATTTGAGGGCTTTTTCATCCCAAACATGTCTTTCACGGATGGGGCTCCAAATTTGGAGGCTTTTATGTTGGCTAATCATGATTTCTACGAAAGGCGCTTTGAATTCGGAGGCTTATTCATCCCAAACGCGAGTTTCACGGATGGGGCTCCGAATTCGGAGGCATTTTGTGTTGGCCAATCGTGGTTCACAAGGGCGCTCCGAATTCAGAGGCTTTTTGTGTTAGCCAATCGTGGTTCACGAAGGGCGCTTCGAATTCGGAGGCTTATTCGGCTCAAACGTGTCATTAACGGATGGGACTCCAAATTCGGAGGCATTTTGTGTTGACCAATCGTGGTTCGCGAAGGGCGCTCCGAATTCAGAGGCTTATTCGACCTAAACGTGTCATTAATGGATGGGGCTCCGAATTTGAAGGCTTTTTGTGTTGGCCAATCGTGGTTCACGAAGGGCGCTCCGAATTCGAAGGCTTGTTTGGCCCAAATATGTCTTTCACGGATGGGGTTCCGAATCCGGAGGCTTTTTGACAACCATAACTCAGTGGGCAGGAAAGAAAAAACATTGTATTGAAAAAAGAAAGATGTACATGGCGTAAATTCAAAACAAGCTGTTGTGCCGTAGAAATTAGTTTAATGATAAATTTTGCGCAAGTGTGTGGAATTCCACGGACGTGGCAAACTTCTTCCCTCCATGTCTTTGAGCTGATATACCCCTGTCCCTGCGATTGAGTCAATCTGATAAGGGCCGTCCTAGTTAGGACCCAATTTTCCGTCAGCGGGATTCCTAGCAGCAGGAAGCACTTTCTTGAGGACCAATTCTTCTGCTATATAACGGTATACCTGAACACGTTGATTATACGATTTAGCGAGCTGTTGTTGGTATCGTGCCATGGAAGCAAGGGCACGGTCTCAGCGTTCTTCAATCAGAGTCAAGTCCAAGGCCAATATCATGTCATTTCGACCCATGTCAAAAACCTTCAATTTCAAGGTTGGAAGGCCGATCTCCAGGGGGATGATTGCCTGGGTTTCGAAGCACAGAGCAAACGGTGTTTCCCCAGTGGATCGCCTCGGAGTGGTGCGATGACCCCACAACACGCTGGGTAACTCTTCGACCCATCTGCTTTTAGCTTTCTCCAGTCTTTTCTTGATGCCATCTAAAATAACCTTGTTGGTGGCCTCCACTTGATTGTTGCTTTGGGGATAAGCCGACGAGGAAAAGTAAGGCCGGATACCATAAGTGTTGCACGATTCTCGATACACGCCACAATCAAACTGGGTACCGTTGTCTGAAACAAGCGCTCATGGTATGCCAAATCTCGTTATGATGTTTTTCCATACAAAACTCTTAACGTAGGAATCTCGAATATGTGTTAGTGCCTCTGTTTCCACCCATTTTGTAAAATAATTCGTCGTAACAATTAAGAATCATCTGTTGCCTGGGGTTGTGGCAATGGTCCAACGATATCAAGCCCCCATTGAGCTAATGACCAAGGACTAGTGATAGAGTTTAACTCCTCGGCAGACAGATGAGTTAAGGGGGAAAACTTCTGGCATTGCTCACATTTCTTGAGATAACACTCGGCATCGGTTCTCAAGGTCGACCAATAGTACCCCTGCGTTATGGCTCGATGAGCTAGAGAACGTCTGCCCGAATGGGCACCATAATTGCCTTCATGTATTTCAGACAAAAGTTCCTTGACTTTATCCGGGTAAACACATTCTAAGTACGGCCCAGAGAAAGATTTTTTGTGGAGCTTCCCCTACAGATCCAAGTAGTATCGGAGGGCTTTGTTTCATAGTTTGTGTGCTTCTTTCTTATCCATAGAGAACTGTTCTGAAGATAGGAATGCGGCGATAGAGTCCATCTAACTTGAACCCAGTTCTATAACGTTGATCTGAACTAATTCTGAAGAGGCAATGCTCGGCTCAGGGATGAACCCAACTTCGATTGTCCACTTAGTTTCTGAGTTAATGGCAGAGGCTAAGCAAGCCAGGGCGTCCACATGCGTGTTCTGATCCCGGGTTTTTGATTCAGTTCATGGTGATCAAATTTCGCGAGCAAAGAATTTGCCGTTTTCATATAGGCTGCCATGCGGTCATTTTTGGCTGCATATTCCCCTTTCAACTGGTTGATTACTAGCTTTGAGTCATAGAAAACAAGTAGACGCAGCGCACCGAGGTGAAGTGCATTCTGTAGGCCGGTTAACAGTGCTTTGTATTCGGCCTCGTTGTTCAATGCATCGAAGCCCAATTTGACGGTCTGTTCGATTATTGCCCCTTCGGGGGTCATGATTACTACGCCAGCCCCACTACCACCCTAGTTGGATGACCCGTTGCAATACATCTGCCAAACGTCGCCAACATACATTCTCCAGTTGGGCTTGATTTGCACTTGATCAGACTTAAAGTCGGCGAGGGATCCTGTGAATTTGTCTACAAAGTCGGCGAGCACTTGCCCTTTTATGAAAGTTCTGGGTAAAAACTGGATATCGTACTGCCTGAGTTCCAGAGCCCATTTCGAAATACACCCCGATACTTCCGCGTTGCGGAGCGCTGACCGGAGGGGATAGTCCGTTAGTACCCCAATGGTATGCCCCTAAAAGTAATGCATCAGTTTTCTTGTAGCCATGATGAGGGCAAGGATAAGCTTTTCCAATGGAAGGTAACGTGTTTCGGCGTCGGCCATTACTTTGCTCACATAGTAAACTGGTCGCTACTCCCCAAGTTCTTCCCTTAACAATACGACGGTGACTGCCTGGTCGGATACCGCCAGATACAAAATGAGGGGATCGCCTGCCGCAGGTGTTGCCAAGAGTGGTGTGTCCAATTTGAATATGTAATTTATTTGTGGGGTGTCCAATTTGAATATGTAATTTATTGGCGAAGATTTTGAAGTTTAATCCAAAATTGAAGACCTTAATGATTTGAGGAACCAAAATTGATAATGGGAATAATTTTAATTTGATGTTTAGAGCCTTTTGGAAGTTTGATTAAAAATCTGATTTGGATTGATGAATTTAAATATATTTAATTAGGCTCTAATGGAAGTCAATTAGACTAATTAAATTATGTGGGATTTGAGATTAATTATAATTAACTAATTTTTTGTTAATTAAAATTTATTAAGATTAAGTGATGCTCAATTAAATTATTCCTAGACGTAAATTGAATTATGGACTAAATTAGTATTGGGGGTGTAAATGGGTGTGGGTGTATTGAGAAATCTGTGTATGTGATGTGTTGGAAATCAAAGGAGAGTGCACGTGTGCTATGTTGAGGTCAAGAAGTGAGGTGTGTGTGTGTGAATGAATGTATAACCTGCTGGAAGAAAGAAAAAAAGGGGAGAAAAAGGAAAGAAAGGGAAAGGAATCTGAGAGAGAGAAACAAAGAGAGAGTCTAGAGAGAACCCACTTCATTTTGTTGCTTGTTGCTGGAAAAGAAGGAATTTCAGCCCAAGAAGAAAAAAAAAGAAACTAAGGAAAGAAAAGCTAGGAAAGAAGAGAAGTTGAAAGAGGAGGTTCAGATTTGAAGGAGAATAAGAATTAGAAAACTTAAGGTATGAAATTTATGCTTAATTTGTGCAGAATCCTTACTTTACAATTACAATTAAAGATGAAATTAGACTCAAATCATGTAATTAAAAGGAATTAGCAAGAAGATGAAGAAAAATTGACTTAAGTGTAAGATTATGGAAGCTAATTTGGAATTGGGGTCTAAACATGAAATGGGTTACATGCATGTGGATGATTATGGAATAAATTTAGGGATTAATTATTTTGAATTTGATGTTGTGATCTTTCTTGAAAATAAACCTCATTGTTACATGCATGAGCAAATTGATACTCTAATTATAATATGTTTCATGGATTATGAAAAATATGAATTAATTCAAGTTCATATTTGAAGAGAAAAAGGAAATGTTTTATGAGAATCAAGTTTATGAAAATTTAGAATGTTAGATAGAGTTTTAATTTTATAATTAAATTTTTAACCCATGCGTGTAATGTAAGTTAAGAAATTAATTCATAATTTATGCATGTAATGTAAGTTAAGAAATTAATTCATAATTTAAAGATTATAAGTTTGTGATTGAGTTTGGTGTAGATTAAAAGTTTAATTATGGTTTGAGCTTGATAAGGTAGAATTGGTGGGATATTGATAAATGTTTCAAACATGCAAATGATTTTTTTTTAAGAAGGTTAAAACTTTAAATTCATGTTTTGAAGGAAAGTAGAAAGAACTTGATGTCAATTTTATGTAATTAAAAAGAAAATGAGAAATTGAAGCTATGTTCAAATTTATGAAAATTAATTATTTTGGGTTTGACTTTGGAATATCATGCATGAATTGAGTCTAATTTCTACATGCATGGACAAGTTCTACAAGTTTTAATATTCTAATTGTACATGCGTCATGGATTTCTAATAATTGATTTCATGTTTTGATGAAATAAGAATTAAGTTTTAGAAATTTACGGATTTATGAACAATGAGCTTAATTTATAAATTAAACGAGTTTTGATGTAAATGATTTAAAATGGATCATATTTTTTTGATTATTTAAGAGTTTGTATGTTTTTAGACAAGCCATGTATGAACCCAAGTCTTAAAATTATTTTGAAAGCTCAATTCAAGTTTTAGAATTTGTGAGTTATGAAGTTTAAGGAAATGAATTTGAAGTAGTTTGGGCTTGTATGATAAACCCTTGGAGATATGAACTTCGAATCTTGTAGAATTGACATTATATCATGATTAGAAGTTGTATGGTTGATATATGGGTTAAAACATGCAAGTTGTATCATATGAAGTTGTGTTTTGAAGCACAATCAACATTTTAGAAAACCCATAAATTGGCTTCGTTGCTTGAGCGGAGAAGTTGCCGCTCGAGCATAGAATACAAGCAACCAGTACTTTTGCAGACCAAAGGGGTCCGCTCGAGCGGAGAGCCCTATTTAAGAAATTTGGAAAAGATGTTTTATGCTTCGTTTTCCATTCTCTTTTATTTCAAAGCACTCTTAGGCATGCATTAAACACTGCAAATGAATTAAAGAACATATAAGAAACGTAAGAATGTTAAACAAGTTAAAGAACGGAATCAATTGTATTGTGACCCAATTTCTATGTGTATTATGAATTGTGTAGGGTCAACACAAGGGCAAACCAGGCATTTGAACACTGTGAGTAATAACTCTGTAAAGTTATGTTTAACTTTAATTTTTTTTGATGATATGAGATGATAAGTTTCTGAAATGCTATGTTTTGTATGAATGAATGATTGTTCAATTTTCTTTGAAACGTAACTGGGGTATCCTTAGCAGAGGCCCTCGCCCAGGGGACATAATACTGTGGCTTATGGTCATGAGGCCCTAGCCCGGCGGTTAATACCGTGGCCCAGGCCCTCACCCGAGGGAAAGAATACTGTGGCCCAGGCCCTCGCCCGGGGGAAAGAATACCGTGGCCCAGGCCCTTGTCCGGGGGAAATAATACCATGGCCGATGTATGAAATATGTTACCCGGTACCGGAGGTTCCATTATGGAACTTGATATGCTTGACCAACATGATATGTTACGCTAAAGGAAGTACCACACATGATTTGAATATGAATATGGATATGACTCTGTTTCTGATACGAATATGAACATGAACATGACTATGTTTCTGATTTGATAAGAGATTTGAAATCTGATTTCTGAATTCGATACGGACATCATTAATTAAAACCCTTTACTCTGTTATTATTCACTGGGTTCTAGCTCACTGTATTATTTATGTATGTAGGTGAACAGGCACGTGACCAGGCTTAGAGGCATCTGCTTGGAATCAATTTTTGTCAGCCAACCTATGTGCCTCTCGTGGAGGTTCCGGATATTTCAAGTGACTATGGCTATGTGATACAAAGTTTAGGTTTTGTTTTCTTGATTGGTTAGACAAGTCTTGTGTATTTTGTAAATAGGGCTAAGTCCCTTTTTGTCTAATCCGTGTATATATAATGACGTAAGGATGATGTGTATATATGTATATAAAGTTTTAAATTTTTTCTATCTCATATATGTCTGCACAGCTCAATGGATGTTGTTTAATTGCTATTTGCTTCTGCAGCCCCTAATTATATGATATTCTGTTAAGAGGCCTTTGGTAATCCAAGGATTACTGGCCGGTTACGACGCTAACCCTATAGGGGCGAGCTTGGGTCGTGACAAGAAGATTGAGTTCAAATTAAGAGAATTGCTAGAGAACTTGGAGGTTGGCTTGAAATTTCAAACAATTAACTATTTAGAGCATAATTGATCATCTAAGGTAAGAATTCAACCTTGTAACTTTGGAATTGAATCACTTAGCACATGAATCCAAAGAATTAAGTTGTGTAATGCTAGAATTGAGCTAAAATGAAAGAATATATATCATACTATGCATGCATGTCCATCTCATCACAATTTGAGTTTAATTTCCAAGAATTCTCTCATGCATGTGTCCATCTTACCTTTATTTTGAGAATTCATCTTGTTTGATACCATTTTATATCAAATGATCATGTTTTGGAAGCTTTGAAGTCAAGGTAATACATGCATGTTATCTTTTCGAAGATTTGAGCTTTGTTTTGCACAATTGGCATGCGTTGGGCTTTGATTTTGCGAAATAGTTTTGAATTCTTGAAGTTTGATAAGTTTACACAAGTTCCCTTAAGTGCTTGGCCCAAAAGAACTTGATTTGTAGCTCTGAGTTTGAGTTTGAGTTTGAAGCTTGGAAGCAAATCTAAAAATTCCAGAATTTTGCTTCTACACTCGAGCGACAAATCTTGCGCTCAAGCAACCACTTTGTGTTTTACACTTCTGCTTGAGCGACAAAAAGTTGGCTCAAGCGTAAAGTGCATGCTCCTAGAAGTTTACACATTTTGCAGACCACTCGAGCGACAGAAGTTGCGCTTGAGCGAAGACCTCAATCTCATGCTCGAGCAACCATTGAGCGGAAAATTCACACAACTAGTACTTTTGCAGAGTTTACAGACCGCTTGAGCGAAGGAAGTTGCGCTCAAGCGACCTATCACATTTTTTAACCTCCGCTTGAGCAAAGAAAGTTGCGCTTGAGCGAACACCCTGTTTTCAGCAAATTTGACTAAGTGTTGAATAACATGTTTTGACATCCTCATTGTATCCTAGGCATTCCTAGGCCATGATTAAGACATAATAATGAAGATAAGAATTAGAAACACCCCAAGACAAGAAAGAACTAAGTTAATAATTCCGGGTGTGTAATTCAATACGTATTCGTTTTGTGTCTGTGAAGGTCATGCGCTACAAGTTATATGATTTGTTTGTTCTGTCTGTCTGCTTTGGAGCCATCTATGAGTAACAACTTTGTAAAACTATGTTCACGTTTAAATATTTTCCAATATGATATGACAAGAAATGATCTATTTTCTAAAATGTTATGTTCTATACCAATGAATGATTGTCCATATATTGAAAAGTATTCGTGACATTCTTAGCACATGGCCTTTTCCCAGGGGTAATAACACCGTGGTCGCATGGCCCTTGCCCAGAGGTAATAATACCATGGTTTCATGGCCCTCACTTGAGGGTAACAATACCATGACTTAAGTATGTTATCTGTTCCTAGTACCGGAGGTTCCTTTATGGAACTAGTCAAGTATGACCCTTAATGCTCTGTATCTGATCTGTTAGTGCTAATAGATGTACCATGTATGATTAAGTATGAACTCCGATTTTTGTATATGATTTGAACGAGAATATGAATATGAATCCATTTCTGCTTTCAGAATCTGATATGGGACATCATTCATTTAACCTTTTACTTTGTCATTATTCACTGGGCTCCCGCTTACTCTATTTATATTATGTATGTAGGTGACCAAGTGCGTGACTAGGCTTAGAGTTGAAGACCTGGAGCTTGGGTTTTGAGCCAACCAGCTACCATGCCTCCCGGGGAAGTTCCCGTCTGAAGAAGTTAATTCTTGTGAATCATGATAAAGATGTTTTTGTTATGTTTTTGTTTTTGTTTATATGTACGTTACGCTCAGTCCCTTTTGTTAATACCTGAACAGTGTTACATGACTTATACATCATATGTATATAGTTAAGTTTAAATTTCCTGTTGCATGTACATCAACACAGCTCTATGGACAATGTATTATATATATTTGCTTCCGTAGCCTCTTATATTACATGATGTTTAGGTCAGAGGCCTTTGGTGATCCTAGGATTACTGACCGGTTACGACGCTAAAGCTATAGGAGCGGATTTGGGTCGTAACACTAGCAATTCTCCAAATTTGAACTCAATCTTCTCCTCTCTCTCTCTCTCTCTCTCTCTCTCTCTCTCCATGTTTTGTTTTTGTAGACTCAAAGAAGATAAAGAAAAGATGACTCAATTGGTATATTGGCCTTATTTAGGCTTGATTAGGGAAGTAATTAAACTTAACTTAAACTAAACAATTTGACATTAATTATTCTAATTTAATTCGTTCCAAATCGAATTTCAATTCAACCTACCATAAAATTCTAAAAATACTAAATAACACATAAACCAAGTCGATTTCTTGATCGGACACCGACAAGGCCTTCAAGTCATAGAACAGAACAAATCATAGACATATATTCCTACGTAAAACAGATAGAAACTCATATAGCATATACACATGTAATTAATGCAAACTTTCACCTTGATTACTCATTATGCATCATTAGTCATATGTTTTAAGCTAATCACAGGTCGGGGTTGTTACAGTCTCCCTCCTCCCTTTTAGTAGTGTTACCCAAAAGACAACCTAAGAGGGGAGGTGAATTAGGCTTTTATAATTAAAATTAATAATATCCTAATAAAAATTATGACTAGCACAATAGATAAATATAATTAATGAAATAAAAATAATTAAAAGTGTCTTAACAACTATGTCAGTTAATGATTTTAGCACAGTAAAAATGTGAAATATAGCTATGGCAATTTAAAATAAAACAAAAAGATAAGAGAGAGAGAGGCAAACAAATTTATAGTAGTTCGGCTTCAACTCGGCCTACGTCCACTCCTCAAGCTTCACTTGAGATTTTCCACTATCTTCTAGCTTCACAGGGGTGCTAGCAACCTCTTTACAAATGAAGCAATCCTCCACGGATTTTACACAGACTTCACAAGCCCAAACCCTTGCAAATCTTAGGTGATTTACAATCACTCTCAAGATTTCAAGAACACAGTGTTTGCAACACTTTTACAAGATGAAATGGTATTTTTGCTTTCAAAGAAAGCTTGCAATAAATATCTCTCAAAGATAGAAATATAAAATGAAGCTTTGATTTTTTTGTAAGTCTTACACAGGAAAGATGGGCTTAAAGCTATAAGGCTCAGTGTATAATTTATGAGAATAAATGTGAGTGATTATAGATCAACGAATATTTTCAGGTTTTTTTGTCACACATTAGAGACTTTGGTATATATAATGAAAATTATAACCGTTTATAGCCGTTGTATTCATTTGAATTTATAGTCGTTTATAGCCGTTGTAGTCATTTGAATTTATAGCCGTTTATAACAGTTGTACTTCCATCATTATCAATTTGAATATCTTCCACTCCATCATTACAAATTTGAATATCTTTCACTTGAACCTTTTGAACCTTTTGGCCTTTTAAACCTTTATAGCCGTTCATAGCCGTTGTACTTTCATCATTACTAATTTGAATATCTTCCACTTGAACCTTTATTTTGAGCTGTTTGAACTCTTAATTTAATCAAATATTAAATACATTCTAATAGCATTTAGGATAAAGGTTTAGGTGAGAAATAATGGGACAAAATAAATTTTGATTCTATTTTTCTCTTTCAAGTAAATCATCAAAATAAATTTTGATTCTATTTTTCTCTTTCAAATAAATCATCAAAATAAATTTTGATTAAAATATAATTAAATAAATCATCAAAATAAATTTTGGATTCTATTTTTCTCTTTCAAAATAATTAAATAAATCATCAAAATAAATAAGTCTAACAAGTAGTTTGGTCCTCCAAACTCGAATTACCTTCGTTTTGGTAGAATATCGGATCTAACGGAAACAAGTCAGGGTATCTCTTCATCATATCCTCTTCCGTCTCCCATGTTGCATATGTCCCTCTGTGGTTTTGCAATCAACTTTCACCAAGGGTATTTCTTTGTTTCTTAATCTTTTAATTCTACGACTCACAATCTGAATTGGCCTCTCTTCGTATATGTAGTCATCCTTTAAGAGCACATGTGTTGGTTCAATGACATGTAATGGATCTCGTAGATATTCCCGTAGCATCAAAACATGAAAAATATTATGCATATGTTCTATGACCAGCAATAAGGCTACCCGATACGTAATCGGGGTTGATTTTCTTAAGGATTTCATATTGCCCGACATATCTTGACGCTAGCTTGCCCTTTATTCCAAACCGTATCTGCCTTTTCATAAGAGTTACTTTGATAAACACATGATCCCCGACTTCATATTCTCGATCTCTTCTTCAGACATCCGTGTAACTCTTTTAGTGGCTTTGTGCAGTTTTCAATCTTTGTTGAATTAATTTCACATTTTTCGTTATTTTTGCACAAGTGCCAATCCTAACAAAGGTCTGTCACCTACCTCAGCCTAACAGATGGAATAACGGCATTTTCTACCATACAAAGCTTCGTAAAGAGCCATACCGATACTCGAATGGTAGCTGTTGCTATACACAAACTCGGCCAATGGTAAGTAGATCTCCCAATTGCATTTAAGGCACAGATTCTAAGCATATCTTCCAGAGTCTGCATCGTCCTTTCTGATTGACCGTCTGTCTGTTGGTGATATGCACTGCTCAGTCTTAACTCTGTTCCCAAAGCTTACTGTAGACTCTGCCAGAATCTTGAAGTAAACTTGGGATCTTTATCAAATACTATGGAAACTGGAACTCCATGCAATTTCACAATCTCATTGACATATAAGTTAGCCAACTTATCCGCATTATATAAAGATTTGATAAGCAAAAAATGGACAAATTTAGTTAAAAGATCAACAATGACCCAAATAGAATC